AGATATTTTGCAATATTGTAGGTCGGACTTCCAATGGCGCTCACAATGGGTCTCAGTGGTACATCCGGTTTATGGATCTTGGGTAGTCCGTAGAGCCTTAGTGGGAGTGCTTCTGATTTTTTGAGTTTTGCCAACTCCTCGGATGGAGATGTCATATCCTTAATTAATTTGTTCGTTGTTCTTAGTATCCGTGCCGTCGGATCCCGTGTCAACTTTTTGTACGTTGACGGGGTCAAAAGTTCTTTAATTTTGTCTTCGTAGTTCAATGAAGACATGACCACAGTTGCATTGCCCTTATCAGCTGGCAACACGAGAATCTCCTTATCCTCATTCAGCGTTTTCAGGGCTTTTCTTTCACTGAAAGTGAGGTTGCTCTTCGGAGGCTTTGAGCGTTGTAAAATTCTCGAAGTCTCGGCCCTTATCTGTTCTGCGGTTTGAATGGGCAGCGAACGTATGCCACTCTCTACATTTGATATAATGTCCTCTACTGGCAACCTGGACGGTACTATGGCAAAGTTTAAGCAATGTTTATATCTTTTTTATGTAAATTTATGTGATCGGAAGTAAAAACTATAGCCAGGATTATTTGGTTTTATAATCTCCCAATAAAGCAGAAACTATGAGAATTTATTTGGCATGTTTTTCTGGTAAATTATTTTTTCCGTATATTTGTTATATTTTCAACAGTGCATACCTACATGGAATATATTTTAACTTGGTACGTTATTAATAATTATCTAACAGCGCGTATGAGGGCATACGTAATAATGCAAAATGTTATAACAATCGCTGTAGTTTTTTCCTAAAATCTAATCTAATACGGATAATTTTTTTACAATTAACCAAATATCAGGCTAAGTAATATTTCATTTTTTTAATTTTCTCACACTAATTAGCTGAAACTTCAGAACGCGCACACAATATTTGGAACAAATTAGGGAAGTAATCAATAACCAACTTGTCCTGGAAGAAACCAGCATTAAAAATATTTTTTGTTTGTATCGCATTTAATAACCACATAACAGAATATAAAAGAATTTATTTCAGGTTTAGGTCACAAGATGCGATCAATTTCACAGGTACCTACTGGAAAATAGCGAGTATGCAAAGATAACACTTTTTAAACGAATCTAAATAACAATTTATGGAGAAAAACTAAAGAAGCAGGAAGTAACAAAAAAATCTTGATAAATATATTTTCGTGCATAATTTGAATATGGCAACAAGGCTTTCGAAGTTTTTACTTACCTACTAAGTTATCTTTTGACTTATAATTACCTTGTTACCAGATGAAAATATGCGGTAGTAAAATAAGAGTTTACTGGATAATAAGTAAGAAAGTTCATAAATAGACAAAAAACGCGTTGTTGCTACATGAGAAAGATAAGTTGCATTCCGTAGGAGATGTGCCAAATTAACATTTTTTAGTTATTTACGTTTCTCAAAAAGCTCTGTCATATGGCCTACGCAAAATTACTTATTTACTTAAAAATATAATTAGTCATTTAATCACTAGAAACGATATGGACTCGAGAACAAGGGTTTTTTACCTTTTCTGTACGTACTTTGGCAACCGTCTCCAAAATTTCATTATTTGATTCCATTTCCAACCGCAAATCGTAAGTTGCTGCTTTCACCAACGATTTTTATGCTTTCTTTTATACCACCGATTGCTTCCCTGAACAGCATTTCCGAGTACGTATTGAATAATGTCGGTGATATAATGCTTCCCTGAGAAACCTCCCATTTTATTGTAAGTTCTTGTGAGATTTGGTTGAATATACGCACAGTCGCCGTTTCGCCTAAGTAAAAGTTTCTAATTAGGCGTAAATATTTGTCATCGATACCAGATTCAATCCCTACTTGAAGCAATTTGTGATGTTGCACTTTATCGAATGCGTTTTCAAAATCTATAAAACACTCATAGACATTGCAGTTTGCGCCCCGAGCTCTTTGGATTAGAATTTGAATAGAAAATAGAGCTTCTTGAGTTCCAAGGCCACTTTTAAAACCAAACTGGACATTGTTAATGTTTTCCTCGGGTTTTCCATATATTCATATATTCGAGAATTAATAATACCCCAACGGCTAACAAGCCCCATTGGGGAAATAAATATATTCCCAGCACACCAGAGTATTGTAGTAAATTCATATTATGTATTGTATACTTTTATTTTTTATAAGAATTTATTTTTGAATTGTAGAAATGGACCATTTTATGGGGAGTTTTTTTTTAGTTCGACACCAAGGGACCAAGGAAAGTTTGCGCAAAACCTTTAAATGGCTTACCATGACGTGCTAGTACTTGTTTTCATCAAACCTAAAACGAATTGAATCGTTGCTTATAAAAAGTTCCTTTAATATGATCTCAGAAGTGAGCCGTTTCATTGTTTCCACTTGCGCTGTCTTTGGCAATGTTTACTGTAACTTTAGATTACTTATAAATAATAGGAATACTGATTCCGGGCGTCTATGATGTAGAAAGATTTACTGAGTTAGCGCCTCCTTAAGGAATGTAAACATGTTGCATTTTTGACAGTGTAATACATTTTATGTTTTGAAGGGCACAATTTAAAAACTCACCACAGTTGTAACGTTGACTTGATGTTTGTCAACAAATATCTGTCTGAATGCACGGTTGCCGATGAGCTTTTTCAAAAAAATTATCAGGCACATAATTTTTCAAATAGAAAATTTGTCAGAGTTAAATTTTTTAAAAGCGTTTTTCCCGTACCGTTCAAGTTAGCCTCTAGACAGGAACTTTTAATAACCCAGTATTGATTGACTTGACATGTGTCAATAGATGTTTGATATTGAGTTATTAGTAGAATATCTACACTAAAAATTCAAAAGCCACCAGGAGTCAATATTAAGCAAGTAAACTGGCTGAACACGGTCCTGAAAAAATCTATTCAAGGCTGCCGTATTTCACAGATATAAAGGCGGGGAATACGCGCAGAGCGTACATTTCCTTTGGTTGTTTTCATGAGAATAGTAGTGTCTCATATTGTAAATTCAACTAGAAAAATGGCAAAGCAAGTACCAAAAATCAAGTTCAACAATGGGCAGGAGTTCCCCGTCTTTGGACTGGGTACCTGGAAGGTAAGAATGCAAGTTATTGCAAACACTTTGAATATTTGAATTTTCACTAATCATCCATTCAGAATTATTTGTGAAGGTTACACAATATTGTTTGTGCCGGTAAACAACAAGCGGACGCAGCTATTAACGCTTACGATTTGAGAGTCCATACTAGCTAATTATTAAAAATTAGACAACGTTTAATCGAATAAATAAATCTGTATGTATAATCTGGCTTTAAAGAAATTGTGTTTATTTTTATTTTGACCGTCCAGTACAATGAACAAAGTATTTGCGTTCTCAATAAAAAACCGAAAATTCCATTTTTTCAAATTCAGTGCTTTCCCTTTCAATTTTCATCTAGAATTTATATATTTATATAGCATTTTGAATTAAAAAAATGAATCTTATTTCTCGCTCTACACCCGTTCTTTCAGTAGTCCTTTTTGGACTGATTAACAGTATCTCTGTATTTTATTTGTGATGGCCTACAAACTTCTGTTAGCGGTTTAATAATATCATCAAAAACTGATTTCATAATCTGCCAAAATAACTCTATAACTGTGGTGGTTTCTAAATTACTGAAGAAACTTAAAAACTTACTATTTCACTTCAGTGGCGCTCGACAAAAGGTCGGGTACGTAAAAGGCTACATGTCCCCTAAAAATCACTCCATAGCTTCTAACATCCGAATACCATATTGCATAATGTAGAATCCAAAATCGAATCTAATGTTCAAAATTTGAGGTAAATATTTTCACAAGCACAAAAGTTCTACCGCAAAAATATGTTTTTTTGAAAATTCAACACCTATCTGGCAAGCGCGGGGTTTTTGGAAACATATCTATGAAGGAAAAATGAGCTTTGAGATAGTCAGGACATAAGCCATACATATGCAGTAATAAAAACTCTTGAAATGTAGCGCATTTAAGCATTAACTACAGATTAAAACATACTGATTCGAGGGAGAAGCAACGGAGAAGATTTAATGATTTCAGTTAAAATAACTCAGTTTAAATTTCTGTTTGTTTATTTCTTCCAGTAAATTTTAATTTATCTACGTTAGTATTTTTTAAACTAATAGCATGAAAAGACAGCACAGAAAAGTGTAACCAGGCCAAGTTGTCACAAATGTAGTCAAAGTATATGCAACATAACTTGCTCAGTGCCAAAGCGCTCAGAAGAAACTCGTTTTCCTGTTAACAATTGATTTTATTAGATTTCCTCCTTATTTTTGACCGATTGATAAACTACACTACTGTTTATTTGATTGATGGTAATTACATTTGAAACAAATAACGTAAAGAAATAATAAACTTTAGGAAAAAACATCCTATAGATTTTCCTATATGTAACACAAATTGCCAATGACGAAAGACTGCAAGTGATTATGGCTTCTAGAGTTAAAGTTTATTGAAACCCTTAAGATTTTCGAAATATGTATGTAGTTTTACATCCGATGAAATGCATGCATTTGACTGTTCTTATCATGGAATATCGTCATCTTTATTGATTTATTATTTATTGACAATTTTTTTATGAAATTGTATTGTCTAGTTATTGTTAAAGTTGGATAAAAATGTTTATGCGAGAACTTAAAAACAATGTTTTTGGTTTTGTCACAAGCAAACACTTCCAAAACCGGTTTTGAATCTATTAGCTTTCATCAACTGGTTACTACTCATTATACGACACATTTTGGCGATTTAAGTCCAACTGATGAAAACTAATAGGTCCGAAACCTGAATGGTCCTGGGAGCTCTTACTTGTGACATTGCCAGAAATCTGTGCTAGTTTTTTATTATGTACCATGCATTTATGACAAGTTAAAGGATGTCAAACTTATCTACTATTTCATATCAATTGGGCTTTGGAAAAGTGTTTGTAGTTTGAAAATGTATTCTCATGTGTCTCATTAACACGCATATTTATGTAATTCTGCAGCACAATATTTTCAAATAGGATGAATTGATATAGACCTTATAAAACCAAAAGACAATGTAAATCATTGCTTACATTACTAAAAAAAGTTAATTAGCAAAATATAATTTGACGATCTACGACTTTTGAGTTTTCACATTTTACTATTCGTGACATTACTTTTCTGTGTATGATTGAGATCGGCCATGAACAGATTTTAATTTCTACTTTGCTGCTGGGTTTTGCCCTTGAGTTTGTTTTTGGGTCACCGTGTTTTCGTAATTTGAAAACAGAATCATTTATAATAAACTGGTGCAAATCATACAAAAATATCTAAATATTACGCAAATAGCTGATAATGCATATTTAAAAAGTAAGACTAATAAATGCTCGTTTTGCGACGTGCCCTGTGGGTTAAATAAACAAATCATCAATAAATATCCGTCATCGAAGCTATTTTTATCATCAATTTATGTATTATAATTATTAAGTTGTATAATTATTATGCCATGATATAAACGAGATTAACAATATCTTTGTGCTGGCTGTATTTTAGTGTGACTGATTTGAGAAATTTTTTTGTTTCCAAATTGCATAACAAATTATTTTGTTTGTTCTAAAAGTAGCCATAAAGTTTTGTTTTTTACTTTACTTTACTTTACTTTTTTTACAGTAGTACCCTCATATACTAATGTTTTTGATTGTTCAAAAGTTTGTTTTTGGAATAAATACGATTTTGAAAACAAATGTTGCTGAAACTGAAATTGACGAATTTGGAACGTTGGAATAATGTCACGTAAAAACGTATCATTATATCAGTAAAAAGCATTAGATATCTCAGAGCCAATATTGGTCATTGACTGTTTTACTTTCTTAAATTTTACCTCAATTCAATATAATTCAATATTCCACTATACCTATCAGACTTTATCATAAACGTAAGTATGTTTCTTAAAAAAACAACCTGCAAATACTCCTTATATATGTTATGTAAGTTGCCAAAACCATATCTTATTATTCAATCTCACAATATAATTTTGTGTTTGAATGCTGATAAACTAACAATGACAGCTTAATTTTAATGAGCTATTCAAGTTCTGGATAAGCAAAAATACGAACGATTAGTGTGTTAGATAACAAATTGTTTGAGTGAATAATTAAGCGTAATCAAGCCTTGTAATGTTTCAAAAATATCAATGTGATGTTCAATTTAATAAAGCTGATCGATAACAACACACATCATTTTTTATGGTGTGGGTCAGTATACGAATTTATTATTTTTACATCAGAAGCTTCAATTTATTACTCAACAAAAATACTAAAAGATAGACAAGTAATACAAACGCTACCATATGAAATTTTGATTTATTTTCCTGACTGCGTGTACTTGTTATGATATTCTTATCTTTCCTGGGTCTCAGTCAAAGCATGAAGTAAAAATTTTGAAACATTGTTTATTTCATTACGTTTCGGCGAGACAACAGCGCCATCATCAGATTTAAAATTTACACAAACTCATGATTGGTAAAAATCAACGT